ACTATCAGCCTACGTCACTTTATGAACAATACAAGTAGTAAGAACTAGGTGCCGACTACACAGGTATTATTATGGTGGTACATGGTTCCTGCCAGAATGGAACCCATATGTGGTCAGTAGGGAACAGTTTTTCTGGATCTCTTGGTAGACTATGCTCCCTTATAAATGATGAACCCATGTTGGACCATGTTGTGTTTACTGTGGTATCCCCTCGATCAAAACAACAAATTATAAAGGCGTCATTACAAGGCCCCTCCACACTTGAGCAATACTGAAGTAAACAGTATAATGCAACACAGTAACTTCTGGAAATTCCTGGAGTGCTGTGAGGCCACTACCCTCTTGTAGTTTACTAAGAAAGTAGTGAATGAACCTTATTTGCCAGAAACTTTCCTTCGCCCCTTTTTTTTCTGTGTACATTCCTACATGTTCTAATGATGCTTTGTACTAAGTAATCATCAAATTTTGGGACTTTTGTACCCTGTTTTGTTTCTAGAAATTCAACTAATAAAAATTAGAAAAAAAAAAAATACAAGTAAAAACACACTTTTTTTTGGTTTTTATTAATAACTTTATTTAAATAAAGACACAAGAATTTCTATACTGAAAAAATACAAAACAAAAAGCCACACATCTTTTTTCTCTCTCCAAAGCAATATCGTGTGGTAACTGGAATACTGTAAAGCACGTCGGCTAAAAATAACAGGACAACTATGTACAAATCTTTCATTGTTATTTCAACGAAAAAGGTCTACAGCGTCCGAGAATATGAGAATTGCTAGTACAGGGAATTGGAATAGAATTCTCTATAACAGGCAAGAGCGAACCCCCATCCTTCAGCAACAGGAAAACAGCATGTCCCAACATGCCTTGGTAATAATGGGATTTGTAGTACTTCCACTGCTGAAAGGTAAAAGGATTTCTCAACATCGGCTTAACAACCTTGATTTAACACCTGGAATATGTCAAGATTAAAGAAAGCCTTATGGGGAAAAATATTTAACATTTCAAAGGTGAGCAGAAGACAACTGGTCAATGTGACTGAATGACAGACAACATTTTAATGTCTTTTGACTTGACATGAACATTGTAAAATACTGTAATGAACATTAACAGGGAGGAAAAAAAACAAATCAAGAGTTGTACGCCGATATATAAATTCATTTATCCACAATCAGGTTCATGTATTCAGTTTTTTTATTTTTATTTTCTTCTCATTCGAGACCTGAGATTTGTTACAATAAGTGCCATTCTTTCTGCAGTGTACTATGTACTGTAGGAACTGGCTTCAGTAAAGAGAAAAACAAAAAATGCTACTTAGGCTTAACCAAGTACAAAAATATAAATAGAAGAAAAAAAAATTAAATATCTTTATTCTCCACCTAAGGTCATATACTGAATTTTGTTTTTACAATCAATCATTCAAACAACGGCAAGAGGAGAGTGTCAGGGGGAAAAAAAAAAATAGTCAAGGCAACTTTTTAAATTTTCCAACACAAGAATATTGAAGAATGTCAAGAGTTGTATGAAAGGAATACATTTCTGTGTATATTGTGCTGTGCAAAAAAAACAAAAATGGAATTTGGTATGGGCCGTGGTGCTGAGCCACATGTTGGCAATGTACAGAATAGGGAAAGAACAGACGGTTTTTATCCAATCGTAGGAAAGTTCACAAGTGAGTGCTCTAACTAGAAAAATAGATCCCACCTTCCTAGTGGGCTTTGATAAACAAGAGTTCAAAGTATTGCTTGTGCTACCCTTTAAAATGCCTAATTTTTTTTTAAAGCTTTTTTTCCCATTTTAATTTTTTTTTTCTTTTTGAAAAAGAAAGACAGCAAACTAAGCTTTACAACTCGAACTAAGCTTTATATTTGTCAACAAAATAAAAATGGCTTTCAAGGCTTCAAAAAGAAAAAAAGGGCTTTATTGATTGAAATAAAAGAGACTTCCTACATTGCAGCAGGTGGCAGCCATTTTGCAGGACTGTGCCTCTGTTAAATCGCTCGTTCTTAGCAAGGATGATTTGGCCTGCAAAGATGGCTCTCCCTCTTCTGAGGCAAGTCAATTTTTTCAGAAGATCAGAAGGGAGATAGGATTTAGTAAACATGGACCAGCAAAGATGAATTTGAGAGACAAATCTTTGATTTGACTGGTGAAAATTAGAACAGTGCTGGTTGGGGGCACAACCTTGAACAGTCCTTAAAGTGTTCTGATCACCTACTGTAGATCAGCTACCTTGAGGGATCGGCTTGTATCTCGCAAACATTATCAGTTCGTGAGGAACGCTCACAGTGGAGCGGACAAGCAAAGAATTGTTCCAGCCCACAAAATAGCTGCATTCACTGGTGACCAGTCAACTTTAAGGACCTTTACAGAAACTTGGAGAAGGGAAGGAATGATTAGACCACCAACACGAATACGTCAAGGTTTGCTGGTTCTGAGTGGTGACCCGTGTCCAGGACATTCCACCTGGTTTGGTTTCCATAAAGTGGAATGTTGCAAGAGAAGGAAAAAAAAAAAACAAATAGTAAAATAAAACTTGTGCCCATTTATTTTGAGCTGCATCTTTTTAAGTTGCAAAATTCGTAATTTCCAATGTAGTTTACATTCCAAGTTACCTGAGATTTAGACTTCGGCTGAAGTACCTGAAAGTTAGGCCGTGGGAGGGCACTGTGCAATTAGCCTAGGCCCATGGATTTATTTCTGCATTCGTACGTCTGAACTGCCACCATGTTATGGTTGTGTCGCACAATGACCCCCCCTCTTTTTCATCACCATGCCGATCTGTCATACACCTGGATTTATTTTAAGTGAAAAGCCAATCCTGTAGTACAGTAGTCTCCATGGGACAACACGGAAAATTAAAGGGCCAGAGTATCTGTGTGTTCCTCACAGCAGCCAATCAGATTCTTCCTTTCATTTCCAGTATAGGTTAGAAAATGAAAGAGAGAATGCCTGATGACCATAGGTACAATTTTCTTTTCATATGCTTCCATACAGGAGGGCCCTTCTTTAAGCTAGTGTCACACAGGTAGCTTGTGCTTCAGCTTGCTTGGCCTAGGCCTAACATTACCCTGTGTATTCCTGCATGTAGCAGAGAAATGACTTGTATATCCTGAGTTCTTTATTTCATGCTTTTAAATTAATCACAGAAAAACCAGTGGTCATTTTTGGGGGAACTACAGACAAGAACGTGAACCTTAGCAAGATACTGAAGTTCTAGACAGTAGGAAATTTCATGTTTTACAGCACACGTGTTCACAGAGTTTTAGTAGAGATAAATACTTCCCTGTGCATTCCCCCCTTGTGAACTATGCATGCTGGTTGTCATTGGTTTTGTCATGCCCAAGAATGAGCCTAAAGAAATTATAATTGTGATCATTAACTGATGCCCCCTGCCTCTACCTCTCATAACTCATTAAAAATGTCCTAATTTAATCTATTTGGAAATAAGCGAACCAATCCACGGTTCACCACAAGCTGGGAGGTTCCAAATTTCATCATTTAACCAAACCTGCACAACTGCTTAAGAACTGCGAATTGCACTTATTTCCTAATCAAGGTCCTATTCACCCAGTTTGTCTCAATGTGGCCAATTCAACCAATTCAGTCATTTCTACATTTAATTATACAATCTGATCCATCATTAAAAGACCAAAAGGAACGATAACCTTCAAATAATGAGCAATGCCAATAGTACCAAATACCTTTTTTCATGAATATTTAGAACATTTTCCCAGTTTAACCTCCTCAGTTTCCACATGTATTCTTGCTAGAATGACTGACACTTACTGTCATGCTGAGAGATGCATGACAATCAAAACTGTGTTACCTCTCAGCAACCCTTATCCATACACTATGTAACTGGCGTAGGATGTGCTTGCATTCTACAACCAGGACTGCAAAGTGAAGGATAGCTCAGAAGGCCGAGTACAGAAGAAACTACCAAAGAGACCTTTTATCTTTACACTTACTGAAGGAGGGCTTTCAGTTATTTACAACTCTCAACTCATTACCTTGCCTGTGAAAGCTAAGAGGCAAGGGTTAAGGGATGTATTGCCGCAGATACCTTGCGGACCTGAATTGCTATATGTAGCAGAGCCAACAGAAAGGCCAGCCATGGGTGCCTACAGAAGATAAAGAGCTCAAGAAGTCGAAAGCCGAAAAAGTAGAAAGCCGAAGCCCATAAATGTAGGACATAAGTGTAGATTCTCTCTCCTAAAAGAGGTCTCTTAGTCAAAGACCTCTCAGCTCATTAGCATTTGCAGGAGAACCAAAGGCTGTATATAAAAGCCAGGCCCTTACCTGAAAACATATGCACAAAGGACAGACGAACTGTTAAGGGACATCATGCCACTGATACCTAAACACCACCTAAATACCACCTCTTAACCAGTTTGCCTCAGCAAGGCCAATTTCATAGGTCCAGGCTTTACAAACCACAAAGCTCTTCAACTAAAGTTAATAAGCTGAGGGATGCAAGTCTAGAACTAGATGTCTGAGAAAAGTAAAAAGGGTTCTTTTCTTCAAGCAGAGAGATTTACAAGAACTACCTGTATTATAATATAGAATTTACCACTGGAAACCAGGACTTGGTCCCCTCCGCCACATGCAAAGCACCTGTGTGACACTAGCTTTAGATGTTTTTGGACTGCGGTTATAAAGAGGTTTTTTATGCTTTGATAACAGAATGTGTACCTGTTCAGACAAACTGCAAAATGCATAGTCCACAATGAAATCATTCAGAGATAATTTCTGCACAAATTTACCTTTATCTAGAAATAAGAAACCAGAATTTTTTTTTTTTTTTTTTTTTTTTTTTTTTGGATTGGGGGGATTTGGTCCCAGCCCCAGACAGACATTGGCAGAATGATTAATTGACGCTAAGCAGTACTTTTCTGTTACAATAAGGATCAGACAGCGTTAACCAATCCGCATGCAGAAGTTGTTGGTCTGGCTTCTAGACAGCTCAAGAATGGCAGAGGCCAGCTCCGCCCAGCTTACATGACAACATGATTGTGGGGAGAAGATGGAGGGGACCGTGATAACTGATCATCAGCTGGTCTCTCCCCACCATGTTGCTGTTCTTGTGAGGAGTCTTGGCCATTGGCTTCAGTGTTGTCTACGGTGCTGGTGGCATTATCGGTCAGGGAGGAATTGGAGACCTGAGATGTTAGGTGCTCAACAGTCACAGCAGAGCTCGGGACAGGGTTCTGAAGATTCTTGATGGTCAGGTCCGAAGTAATGAGCAAGGAGGTCAGGAGCTTTACAGGACAGAACGCTGATCCGGTGGGGTTGAAGTTAACCTTGTTTTTGTCAGGACATGAAAGGAGAGCGGTAGGGACTGGCTGACGAGACCTGAAAAGAGGAATGGACAAAACCACTATCATTCTGGATTGTGATATTGGCATCAGAAATGTCACAAGCACACTGAGATGAATGAGAATCTTTAGAATGTTGCTGCAATGTCAATGGTGAAGCCAATTCTGACATCAAAACATCTTCCATATATTCTGTATTTATTAAATGTAGACACAGAATTTAAAGATAACTCCCACAAACAGAGCAGAGGGGATTTCTATTAAGGCAACAGGCCAACTGCTCCAGAGACTCCCTGCACAAGGCATGAGCCCACTAGGAGGCAACCGTAAAATTAAAGAATAAGTTCACCTTTTGGAGAAAAAAAAAAAAAAAAAAAAAATGCAATAATAATATGATTAATTTTTTTTTCTTAATGGAGCCTACAAAGCATTGCACCTACAATCAGCAGATTGTGGGAGCAAACTCAGGTTCCTGCAGTCTTTCAGGATAGCTGTCTGCCTGGACCTCGTACGGGCAGGTAGGTACCTGAGAGCAGGAAGATCAATGGACTACAAGAACTCTCACTAGGGCCCTTGTAGCTCATTGAGAACTACAAGCCATCAGATGCAATGTCTGACAGTACTTGCAAGCATTCAAAGGAAACGGTGATTGACTGACGCAGTCATGTGGATGGAGCCTCGCAAGGCCTTGTTATTTTCAAATAGTGACAGTGGGTGCGGGGAGAGAGAAGATCCACCAACTGCTGTCAGGGAAGGAACATTTAAAAACACTTGGAACATGTTCCAAAGGTGAACCTATCCTTTCATTATTTTAATTGGTCAGTTGCCATGTTAAATAAACCATTGAAATAATTAAGTTTCTATCCATTTGAGATATTTAAAAAAACAAACTGCTGATCCTGCCAGAAATCAATGAGCTGATCACTATATTCTATGTGCTAACTGTTGTCTGTTACATTGTTCTTAGTTGGCTAGGGACTACAGAACCCTGTCCTCTATATTAAGCACAACAGAAGACTGGGTTCTGGAGTCCCAGATACACAATCACCAGGTAAAAATAAAGGGAAAAAAGGCTGAAGGATGCCCAGGTGCACCAAATTACTTTTTGGGGTTTAAAAAATAGTTTAAGTACCACATGAGCTGAAAGTGACAAGTGTCATGTTAGTGCTCAGAACCAATGAACCTCCCATAAAAAATGCTCTGATTACAACAAAAAATATAATTAAAATAAATACAGGTACTTTAAAATTACATTTAAAAACAGGACCCCATGGGGTTTTGTTGTAAGTGTTCTTGCCAAAATTACACCGGTAGTGGGAAGGATTCCACACAGCGCAATATGCTTGGGATATGTGGTTGAGGGTCCTTGATTAAAATGGAGGAAGGTGAGGGTGTGCCTATATAAACCTCATCTATCTATGGTGAGCTGTGTCCTAGAGATGGCCAATATAGTACAAATGTAAAAGAAGAGAACGGCACTGGACTGTGGGGTAACTGACTTTGCATCAGAGGACTCGGACTTGGAGCAAGTCAATTGAGTAGAACGGCATCTCAAAGTCGGCACCCTGTGACATAATGAATAATAAAGATGTCCAAAGAGGATTAAGGTCATACACAGCCAACAAAAAGTTCTGAATTGTAAGTTGTGTATTTTCAGATGAGCCCCCACTCTTTGCACAGTTCTTATGCTTTACAGCCATGGTGGCTCGGTAGTTTGGTAGCTTCTGTCTCCCTGCAGTAGGAGTTAAATCTATGGACTCTTTATAAAATGTGCAGTTTAGAAATAATGCAATAGATGATTATCTAAACTCAGGTTAAAAAGTTTAGAAATTGCTAAATGATTCATGGACTACCCAATTTCTTGTAGATTACATTTTGCCATTTAATGCTGAAGTTTAGGCATGAATTTTACTAGTTACATTGATCCATCTTGGAGGAATCCATATCCCATTCCTGACCAATCCATGTGGAAGGTACAAATCACTCTATAGCAGTCGCTGGTACTATAGCAACAGCAACGGTCTTTCGTATCCGGTGCCAATTGGTTACCCTTCTAAAAAGTAACTAAAAGGTGCCTTGAATTTTTCTTTTTAATACATACAAGCTGCTTTCTGATTGGACAAGAGAGACTGCAGCGCCACCCCACTGCGTCCAGTCAAAGAATGCCTTGTACTGAAAAAAAAAAAAAGTGCATCTTTGGGGATAGTACCAGTGCTGGACAAGCAACCCCATGTGGTTACTATGCAAGCAAAGCCATTTGGCACATTTGACTGTTGACATCACTGTAGTAGTAGTAGTAGCGACTACTACAGTGATTTGCAGCTTCCACAGGATCATTCAGATGGCTTCTTTTTAAAAAAAACATAGCTCAGAGAACAAGTCCTAATAGTCTCTGTTTTAATTATCATAAATAGGCATATAGGTAAGCAAAACAATTAATGCTTGGGCGGGTAAATAGAGGATTCACAAAACCTATGTATTTTTTATGATTTTTTAAGGAATTCATTGCTTTAAAGTGAATGTCCCTGGTTCCATTCAGGTTACAGTTAGTCTTACTAAATCATCCTCCCAGCCCACTTATATTTAACCTAATCTGTGCTACCGCTCCCATGTTAGAACCATCACACTACCTGGTGGTCCCAGGTATGGGGGAGCATGTAGTCTCCTCTGAGCATGCAGTGCTCGGGCCAGAACGGTCAATCATCGTATGTGACCATTGTCTGGTAGGGAAGAGGGGTGACATCAACCCTATGTAAGCTCCCTAACTATCCAACACAAAGCTATCACAGGTTTGACTTCTGGCGAGCAGCGTGGGTAAGGTGAACATTAGTGGGTCAAGGAAAGGGCTAAGATGATACTCTGTTACTTGCCCTAAATGGGCAATGAAATCCCCTATTACATAGTATTTGCTAATGCACATTTAGCAGAGTATATACAGGAGCGGCACCAGTCACCAGGACTTATGGGTAGGACCTCTAATATTCAGCTTTGGGGAGCAGAGGTTGGACTGATGGATTCTGCCCGCTGTCCACCTAACCACATCTGTACTGATGACTTTTAACCAAGTAATATATTTTATTTGCCTAACTTTTTTATGTTTTATATCCGCTGGGAAGTTAATTGGTTAACCTGCATAACTTACTACGGTTATCATCGCATTAGACTCCATTTATCTGCGGGGTCGTGGCATGGACCACCCACAACATTTCTGTTGGGATAATTTACCCTTTTTAAACCAGGGTGCCACCAGGTTTCTTCAGAGATGCCTTGGCAAAATGTCTAAACATTGCCCAGAAATTGTATGCAAGCCAGTGGTGGAGAAGAAGAAACACCTCCAATGATAGGGGTCCTATGTGTGTGGATGCTGCATTGTGTAAAACTAATAGTTGAGTTTTTCAAATTTTATAATGAGGTGCCTCAGGATTGTGCACAATTTTAAAGGGTTCTTTTGAGAAACACTGGGGTAATTATTCATGGTGGCCATTAATAGCAACAATTTTCTAACCACTTTCAATTGCAAGAAAGGTACTCACCAAGATTCCATCCATACAAATATATATAAACTGTAGGAGGTTGAACAGATTTGTTCAGCGATTAAAAAAAACTGATAAACAATGAAGGGGGTGTAGGCAGGTGCTGTATAGTAACATGTTACAAAAGGTAACATTTATCCTTTAAGGGTAATACAAAAGAAAACTAGAAAAGTCTTGCAGGGAAAGCAATACGATTCCTTGAAAGCCATGGTAGACAGGAGAGTCAGAAATCCAAAAGGTAGATGTCCAGAATCACTCACCGAGTCCTTGGGAGATGTTAAAGTGCATCTAAGTTTTGGATGGCATGGGGAAATGTTAGACCCCTATATCAAAGTTGATGCGGTGTGCCTATTGTGGAGATTTACCACTTTGTCCTGATGACTACTGTCTCTGAGACAGAAAGTGAGGGGCAATTCAAAATTGGAGTTGTCCTCAGAACAAAATGTAAGGGGAAATATTTCAATGAGTACACCTGGTCTGAGGAACTGAAATTCCCTCACTTTGGGACATGTCCTCTAACTACCGGTTGCATTTCTGGGACAAAAGTTGAGGAAATTTCACTAATGGTAAACAGCAAAAAAATTAACTGGCATGGCTTTTACATCTTTCCTGCGCTTTCTTTTTTTTTTTTAATTTTAAATAAAGTTTTGACTATACATAGACTTTAAAAGCGAAGTTCACCATTAGGAAAAAATAATAAAGGAACGTATATTTTGCTGTACAAATATATCCCCCTCCCCAGAGCCTACAAAACATTGCACCCGCAATCAGTGGATCACTGGTGCAAGGTCAGGCTCCTGCAGGGGAGTGGAGGGAGTTCCTGGAGAGTGTTGCACCCTAAATATAATATGAACTTATCCTTAAAACCAAAGGGTGCGATTCAGTCCACCAATACCCACTTCTAAATGAAATGTCAGTTTTCAGAAGAACGACCATGGTTACGTGTGAAAGTAAAGGGACGCCGAACTCAGTTAGCTCAGCATGTTATATGAAGTAAAACTGCCTCAGCCTCCTCTTAAACTAAGCCACTGATGCATTTCACCTCTCAAGACGCTTTAATTAGGCTGCAAGGGTGGGGCAAAATGTGTCAGCATCTTAACTTTGGAGGAGCTTGTGTCCGTTTTACTTCATATACATGTCGAGCTAGGGGTGTGAGACATCCTGTCAAATTCACATGCCTATATTGCCTCCTAGATGCCCGCACCCCCTGGGAACCACCAGATGGATTATTACAGATTAGAGCACCTGGAGTGGTGGTACAAGTGGAGGCAGGATATCGTGACCCTGGTTACATTTACCCTAGGCTCACACCCAGGGGCGGACTGACAACTCTTGGGGCCCCCGGGCAATAGGGGATCATGGGGCCTTTGTGTCCTTGCCCAAACTCAAAAAAGCCTATGAAAAAGGTACCAGGGGCATCTCATGGGGCCCCCTACTGACCCCGGGCCCTCGGGCACTGCCCAAGTTTCCAAATGGTCAGTCTGCCCCTGCTCACACCTATGCGGCCATGCAGGCCGCATTTTGCTCGGGCACGAAAGCCCATTCATTTGAATGGACTCCCATGCCCATGACAGGGAAAGAAGTCCCTGCACTACTTTGGAAAACGCAGCCCACACGGGAACCTTGGTTCCCAGTACGGTTGCGTTTCATACTGCGGGCGGTGTGCCATTACAACTAATGGGACCCACTCGCAGATCCGCAATTCTCTGTGCGGGTGGTGCGGCTGCACGGATTTTCGTGCAGATCCGCAGCGGCACCACCCGCACAGATGTGAACCGGGGGTTAAAATCAGTGGGCTCCTAATCAGATCACTATCAGTTTTAAAGAAGCTTATGGGTGTAACTGCAGCCTTTTTTTTTTTTAAGGTTTATGTTATCATGCTATGTGAGCCATGCTATACTGTACTCAGAACAAGGAATCACAACTACCTGCACTCACAAGGTCAGAAAATAAAATCAATGGCAAACATATTCATTTAGCAAGGACTTAGACTGAAACAGATGATGAAAGCCAATGAAAAATTAGAGACACTCAAATGGTAGTTGTGTCTGCTTGGCAACAATGCAAAATATTTCTGTACCTGTAAGCAGAGAAGACAAGTTTGCAGTAAAAAAAAGGAAAAAAAAAAAAAAAAAAGGCCCCCCGCAGGTTCCTTGTCTGCAGCAGAACTACAGAGCAGCAATTCCGTCACAGACAGAGGGCTTGCAGCATGGCCAAAGCCTGCCTTACCGCTCAGAGGACACCAGCAGACGAAAAGGATACTACTTACGACATCTCCTCAAAGACCTTCACGCGCTCACATCCCTCTGGGGGCTCCCGTTTGAACATGTAGCTGTTGTTTGGTTTGGGAGAGGAGGCGTACTTGGGCAGCGGTGAGCTACTCCCACTGTCTGAAAATTTAAACAGTGATATTACTAGTGATTGAGAGCACGCTTCCTTTTCATCTAGCTCTTAGAATGTCAGATTCAGTGTTAGGCATTTGGTTTTGTGCTCATCCTTATTCAGAAAAAAGTGTAGGGGAAAAAATAAAGAAATAAATATAAAACACAATCTGGATGGCATCCAGAATGCAAAGCAGAGGCGGGGGGGGGGAATAAGCAGTGAAAGCATACAGCAGACTGAAAACTTCAATATCACGGTTAGTAAAGTACATACAGGACATGCAGAAGGAAAGAGAGGAACGCCTGTATTAAGCAGAGTGGGTGTTTTGGCAAAGGCCTGACAAAAACAAAGAATTTGAAAATACTTTCCTAAAACTAACATTTGCCAACAGAAAAGAACTCTGTAATGTCAATTAATTTGACTGTTAAATATATATTTTTAGGATCAGAGAGGTTAGAAGGGCTCTGCTCAACATTTTAAGTCAGTGGTTCTCAACCTTCCTAATGCCGTGACCCTTTAATACAGTTCCTCATGTTGTGGTGACCCCCAACCATAAAATTATTTACCCAGTAATTATAATTCATGAAGTGTCGTTTTACCTCCAATACTGCTGCTTTCAGCACAGTAGCTGCTTTCTGCACAGTAGCTGCTTTCTGCACAGTAGCTGCTTTCTGCACAGTAGCTGCTTTCTGCACAGTAGCTGCTCTTTACACATCGGAAATATGTGTTTTCTGATGGTCTTAGGGGACCCCTGTGAAAGGGTCATTCGACCCCCAAAGGGGTCGCGACCCACAGGTTGAGAACCACTGTTTTTAGATCTAAACCCCAACTGAGTGGCATTAAGTATGTTAAATCATTGTGTATCAAACAAATGCCATTGTGTCAAAACAGGGTTTTGATTTTCATCTCAGCCCTGCTGATCTCTCCCAAACATTTACCACCAATTCCTGTCTATATGCATTTGAGTGTTGGCTGCACATCATTGCTCAAGACTGATTTATCAATAGGGACGATGGTGAAACATATCTGTGCTGACTAAGCTTCTTGTCATTTCCAACTGCCCAAAAAAAATTGCAACCACCCCAGCCTATAACTGGTCTTTACAGAAAGGTTCATACGGAAGGGCAACACATGGGGCAGCACAGTGGCTAAATGGTTAGCACTTCCGCCTGGCAGTACTAGGGTCGTTGGTTCGAATCCCAGCCACGGCACCACCTGCCTGGAGTTTGCATGTTCTCCCTGTGCCTGTGTGGGTTTCCTCCGGGTACTCCGGTTTCCTCCCACACTCCAAAAGACATGCTGGTAGGTGAATTGGATCCTGTCTAAATTGGCCCTAGTATGTATGAATGTGAGTTAGGGACCTTAGATTGTACGGGTTAGGGACTGATGTGAATGTACAATATCTATGTAAAGTGCTGCGCAAATTGACGGCGCTATATAAGTACCTGAAATAAATAAGCACATCGCAAACTAACACAAGATTTCACAGCACACTAACCAGCTAGCCTGCAAAACAACCGAATTGCCCTAACAGTTTACGTTAAAAATGGTTTGTTTGCACACATTTGCAAATATATGGCAACCTGCAGTGCCCACAACAAGGGACCTCTGCACAAATTTGCAAATACATGAGTAAGCAGCAGTGCCCACACCAAGGGACCAGTATATACAGACATACCCTCTCACAGTTATGGCAATTTGGTTGTTGTGCAGGCCGGCTGGTAAGTGTGCTGAGAAATCCTTTGTTTTCGATTCTTGTCATTTCCACTAAGGCCACTTGAGATGTGTTGGCAATGCAGCAGAGAGGCCGTTGTCACCCCATAATAGAAGAGCCTGAACAAGAACCTTTATTGCCGGATCATCAGGGATTCTTTTAATGAAAGTTGCAGATTTACAAGTAAGGAGAATGACTTGGGGCCCATTTACACTTGTGAGTTGAACAAAACGCATGCATTAATGTGCATTGCCACAACGCATGGTAACACACCTACTCTATGTGTGTTGTGATTGGCACCCAATGCATTGGACAATAGTGCCCAACACACCACAATGCATGGTAACACATCTACTCTATGTGTGTTGTGGTGTGATTGGCACCCAATGCATTGGACAATAGTGCCCAACACACCGCAATGCATGGTAACACATCTACTCTATGTGTGTTGTGGTGTGATTGGCACCCAATGCATTGGACAATAGTGCCCAACACACCGCAATGCATATACTGTGTGTTGTGGAGAATTGCGTTTTGAAAAAATGGATTGTCCAATTTATTCATATTCTGTTGTGGTGAATTGGTAGCCCATGTATAATGAATGTCCTGTGTTACACGCAACATGTTAATGCACTGCAATGGAATGCTTTAGTGTGAATGGGCCCTTATAAATGACATGTTAAAGCTTTTATGAGATTTTAGAGACAGGAATTGAATCTGTATAAACTCTCAAATTCAGCAGCTCAATTCTAAACCTACAATAGAAAATCAGAGCTGCAAATACTACTGGTATATATCTATCTAAATTTAGTATTAACAAAAAAAAAAAACCTCTAGTTCTCCTTGGAAGCAGGGTCATGTTTCATTAATAGACAGCAGAGACTGAAAACAGCAGGAAGGTCTTGCTGACTAAGGCCCCTTGGGGCTGTCCAGTTGCAGTGGCATTTTAGTGTGCCCAGGAGGGACAGGTGCAGTGCCCAGGAGGGACAGGTGCAGTGCCCAGGAGGGACAGGTGCAGTGCCCAGGAGGGACAGGTGCAGTGCCCAGGAGGGACAGGTGCAGTGCCCAGGAGGGACAGGTGCAGTGCCCAGGAGGGACAGGTGCAGTGCCCAGCCACACGGCAAGCAGCCTTAGTCTCTGAATACACAGAGTCCTAAATCGCCAATACCATGCGGTACAGCATTAAGCCCACCATGGGCGATGCACCTGTCCCTCCCTGGCACACCAAGCACTGGGAGAGACAGACTAATCCTAGATGGCCTTGTTTGCAAGAGGTCTGAAAAGTTCAAGTTCAAGATAGGGGACAGGTAAGGAGGTGCTCCCATAGGGCTGCTGGGGGAGGGGATAGGGGACAGGTAAGGAGGTGATCCCATAGGGCTGCTGGGGGAGGGGATAGAGGACAGGTAAGGAGGTGCTCTCCCAGGGCTGCTGGGGGAGGGGATCGGAGACAGGCAAGGAGGTGCTCTCACAGGATTGCTGGGGGAGGGGATAGGGGACAAGTAAGGAGGTGCTCTCCCAGGGCTGCTGGGGGAGGGGATAGGGGACAGGCAAGGAGGTGCTCTCACAGGATTGCTGGGGGAGGGGATAGGCAAGGAGGTGCTCTCACAGGATTGCTGGGGGAGGGGATAGGCAAGGAGGTGCTCTCACGGGACTGCTGGGGGAGGGGAAGGGGGACAAGTAAGGAGGTGCTCTCTCGCCCAGGACTGCTGGGGGCGGGGATGGGGACAGGCAAGGAGGTGCTCTCTCTGGACTGCTGGGGGAGGGGATAGGGGACAGGTAAGGAGGTGCTCTCACAGGACCGCTGGGGGAGGGGATAGGGGACAGGTAAGGAGGTGCTCTCACAGGACCGCTGGGAGAGGGGATAGGGGACAGGTAAGGAGGTACTCTCATGACTGCTGGGGGAGGGGATAGGGGACAGGTAAGGAGGTGCTCTCACGGGACTGCTGGGGGAGGGGATGGGGACAGGTAAGGAGGTGCTCTCACGGGACTGCTGGGGGAGGGGATAGGGGACAGGTAAGGAGGTACTCTCATGACTGCTGGGGGAGGGGATAGGGGACAGGTAAGGAGGTGCTCTCATGACTGCTGGGGGAGGGGATAGGGGACAGGTAAGGAGGTGCTCTCACGGGACTGCTGGGGGAGGGGATAGGGGACAGGTAAGGAGGTGCTCTCACGGGACTGCTGGGGGAGGGGATAGGGGACAGGTAAGGAGGTGCTCTCATGACTGCTGGGGGAGGGGATAGGGGACAGGTAAGGAGGTACTCTCATGACTGCTGGGGGAGGGGATAGGGGACAGGTAAGGAGGTGCTCTCACGGGACTGCTGGGGGAGGGGGGATAGGGGACAGGTAAGGAGGTGCTCTCACGGGACTGCTGGGGGAGGGGATGGGGACAGGTAAGGAGGTGCTCTCACGGGACTGCTGGGGAGCAACCTTATGTCCACTAAGTGAACTTGAACCTCAATAGAGTAACAAATCTTAGTCAGCAAAGAAAAGGGCTGAAAATGTATTTCTCACCATAGTTTGATTACTTGCTCATAGGAGCAATTAAAATGAAAATTTGTGTGATATTAAATGCAGTATATGGGGTGGGGCTTACTCAGCCCTGGGCAGAGGAAGAGACTTGGTGTAAGTGACACCATAGTGATCAATTTAAAACAAACACAGGTACTCCTAGGAATGACACGGTGCCAGCATTTCAGTGCCATTGTTATCATGGGTACTTTAGGCCATTTTGTTTGCTGTTCCTGTTCTCCAAAAAAGAAGCAGGTAAGGCACTGAAATGTGTTTAAATTCTTGTAGCTTAGTGTAAAGAACAGACTTGGTAGAAAATGTTTATTCCTTCATGTTAAAAAGTGAACCTGTGCTTGGTTGCGAGTACATTGAACCACTGCTCTGGCAAGCTGCACATACTTTACTTCCTTCTGCTGCAAACGCTGAGATTGAAAAGGTGGTCCTGTTAAGATTTAAAACCCCATGCAGTCATGCAAGAAGGACCGGCGCTGCTATGTAGCGGTAAAAAGAGTCACATGACCCCATACGCAAAGTACCAGTACATCTCTTTGCTGGAACGGGAATCAGGAGAAGGTGGGGGTTTGCAGCGGGAGAAGGTGATTACTGAAAGAACGGATTTCAGTGCTCTGTGAGGACAAACTACAGGTTCCCTTTAAACTTTTTTTTTTTTTTTTAGTTATGACAATATACAGAAGGCAACAAAAACTGACATCCTGACTCAACTGAGCGCATGAACAGGTTCAGCAGCAATTGTAATGTTTAAACAAAGCAATGACAGTTGATATGGCACCTGTTGTGTGTACCTTGGAAGACACAGCACGGTTTCTACAAACAATCAGTGGCACAAAGGGATGAATTCTGTTCACAGGAATGGAGCTGCCAATGAAGTCAGCACTCTGGTATGTGAGGTGTTTTTGTGGCCTGGGTGCTGGTGGGGTGAGGTGTGACTTGTCAAACAAAGCACCAGCAATATTTCTCTACTACATGTCCAGCATACAGTTAAACTTTTCCACTCAGTCGGAACCCAGACTCGCCTATGTAGGGATCATCAGACTCGCCTATGTAGGGATCATCACCGTCCGAGGGCCAACATGTGATTCTACCATTGAGTGCCTCCTTAATCAGAGTCAGTATGAAACAGGGGCTAAATATCAACTGGCAATACACGTTCTCACAGCCATAAGGACAAAAAAAAAAAAAAAAAAAAAAAGTTATTCCTAGGTTTAAATGGGGGGAAAAAAAAAAAAACAACACACACACTTGTCCTCTCTCAAGATATCGAATTAGTTTTGATAGTGAGATAGTGCAGGAGATGCAGCCCACAGTTCAAGTCTCCTCTCTGCTCTTTTCTCCAAAAGGACAAACCTGAATGGCCAACAGAGCTGCCAGCTCTCTAAACATCTGGTGCCAAACCAGTAGCCCTTTCTGTGGTCTCCGTAGACACTAAACGGTTTCCCCAATGACCTGTTATCTCTGGCCACCTCTTGCATCACGCCCGCAGTCTCTGGCCACCTCTTGCATCACGCCCGCAGTCTCTGGCCACCTCTTGCATCACGCCCGCAGTCTCTGGCCACCTCTTGCATCACGCCCGCAGTCTCTGGCCACCTCTTGCATCACGCCCGCAGTCTCTGGCCACCTCTTGCATCACGCCCGCAGTCTCTGGCCACCTCTTGCATCACGCCCGCAGTCTCTGGCCACCTCTTGCATCACGCCCGCAGTCTCTGGCACCTCTTGCATCACGCCCGCAGTCTCTGGCCACCTCTTGCATCACGCCCGCAGTCTCTGGCCACCTCTTGTATCATGCCCGCAGTCTCTGGCCACCTCTAGTATCATGCCTGCAGTCTCTGGCCACCTCTTGCATCATGCCCGCAGTCTCTGGCCACCTCTTGCGTCATGCCCGCAGTCTCTGGCCACCTCTTGTGTCATGCCTGCGTCTCTGGCCACCTCTTGTGTCATGCCTGCAGTCTCTGGCCACCTCTTGTGTCATGCCCGCAGTCTCTGGCCACCTCTTGTGTCATGCCTGCAGTCTCTGATGAAATCCTGGTGTGTCTGCTGTCTCTCATCATAAATATTCACTGCATTTTATGTTAAGCCCTTTGGTGATGCCAGGAGCTGCACTTGAGTCCCCTCTTAAGAAAGTTGACCACCTCTGCTCTAAACACTAATCTGCAGGGAATTACAGAAGTCCACTAATAGAAAAAAAAAGCGAGGTATGATATAAAAACCATTTAGAGCCTCACTCAATGCAGGGGAAAAGACACTACCCTTGCCATAGGCCCCTCCACACTGCAAGGGTTAAAGAAGTCTAAGGGTAGGTGGTTTAACACCCATTTCCTCACTGCAGCAGGCTCCCTCCATCTGTGCGACTGGTGTACTGAAACCTCTCCTTTAAGAGCTCCAGCCGACAATCATGTGCTGAAGTAACCAAGTACAATGCAGGGCCAATATTTATGTATTGTATGAGAGGGAGAAAAGGACCCACCCATAACCCTAAGAGTCGGAGGAAAGAGGAATATAAAATGATGCCGGTATACGGAAATGCCTGATAAGACATGTATCTTCAGGTGAAGGACAAGATTATCACTATTCCTGACACTGCTACAGCAGCCATCTCTAAATTTCTATTACTCCCAGGAGGAGTCAGATGCAGAGGATACTTTTGGGGAGCAAAGATCAGCAGAGCAGGCCGTGGGACAGATTGGTATATTTGTTATTTCCTGCCACAGGATCACCTTTTTTTACTTTTTGGGTTTCCGGTTATACATAAAATTCTCTGTCAGGAACAAATGCTAATAGTTGGGGGCCCCAATACGTTAACCCTTTGAGGACCAAGGGACGTATTTGTCCCATGTTTGTAATTGCGTGTATCATCTGATTAAGAACTTAAACTTTTTTTTTTTGGTTTGAGTCAAAATATTAGTTCTTAACACAACAAATGGATCTAGCTTTTTGCCAAATATTTCATGAAATGGCTTAGTTACAGCAACTGAAGTGTACGAACTTTAAAAACAAAAAAATTTATTCTTTTGGCGTTCCAAAACCTTACGGTCCTCAAAGGGTTAATAGTTTCTCTCTTTCTTCAGTAAGCCATATAAGATGACCATATAAAGAGACAGCAATTGTCTATGTTAGTATGGATTAGAGAGTCTATCTCCTACAGAAAAGCACAAGTAAAAACACACTGAAAACAAGGTTTCAGGAAATAAAGCTGATCAAATCTTCAGGATCTAGAGGTCTTGCTGCACTTTATGTCGCCTACCAAAGCAGAGTCATTAAAGAGCAGACAGATTGAATGTTAGTTCTGCCAATCTAATTTCCCCGGTATAAAGAAATCTATGGAAGATATTTGTAAGAAGCACAAAGCAAGGAAAGACATACATGGAGTGACACAAAATGGCCGAGAAGACATGAACTATGAAAAATGACAATGGACAGGTGAAAGCGGCACAGGCTGAACACAGCGACAGAAGCAGGGGGGTGGCGTCTGCCGCTACACTCACCTTTGTCTCTGTCAAAGAGCAGATCATCTGTGGAACAAGGGCTGCCCTCCTGTGATTCAGGGGGACAGGATGGAGAAGCACATGGGGAATGGTTGCTGCTGCAGCTGCTGCTTCGCTCTTGGACAGAAGGCGTCTGAGTGTCGATGCTGCGTGTGCTGCTGCTGCGATATGTGGAAGGTAATGGAGCTCGACGTCCATCAGGAATTTCTAAAGGCTGTAGAGAAAAATACAAACTCTGAAACTGGTTTTAAAAACTGCAAAGTAATTCAGTCTAAAACAAATAGAGAAAAAAAATGCCCTACAGCTACTGCATCCTGGGAAAAGCAAGCACAGCATACAATGAAACGGTAAGCAGAAATGTTACCGAGTGTATTAAAATGACCTAGAGATCCAGAGACAGGTATAGGCAATCTAAAGTCACAGCCCCGAGATGTGCAAAGTGGTGATTTAACTTGCTTTGACCAGATACAGATCTGCAAAAAAGAAACCTACATGGCTGCATGGCAGGCAGGGATTCTATTTTAAGGCCGGTCACTGGTAGTCAGAAAGACTATCACACATAAGGTCTTGTTGAAAAGGACCATTACGTTCCAATTATGCAAATCAATTAAATAACCAGTTTATCAAACCACCCTATTCAAAAGCAACACTTCCATATAAAGATATTGAACTTACAGTTGGGGGATGTGCTAAAAATAGGCAGTTCAACTGCATTTTCATCAACCCCCAAAAAATGCAAAGTCCATACAGTTCAACCAACAGAGGAGGGGGAAAAAAAAAAAAAAAAAAAACCCATATATACTATCCTATACTCACAGTTGATCCAGAGGAAGGCAAAAACCCCAATAAAACATGATCCAGTTTGCTCCATCGGGGGGGGGATTCCTATCTGATCCCCCCTCCAGTGGCAAATCGAATATTCCCTGGATCCACTTTACCTATAAAATGTTAGTATCCAGTTATATTATGTGAATTTAGGTACGAATCCAGGCCTTTTTTTAAAAAAAAAACAATCTACTGAGCTGGCCCGAACCAACTCTTGAGAGAGTCTTTTCCACATTTTCACAGCTCTTACAATGAAGAAACCTTTCTGTATATGGAGATTAAATCTCTTTTCCTCCAGACGTAAAGCGTACCCCCTTGTCCTCTGTGATGACCTCAGGGTGAATAACTCTACACCGAGTTCACTATATGAACCACTGATGTATTTATACATGGTGATCATATCCCCCCCCTTATGTATTATACATGGAGATCATATCCCCCCTTATGTATTATACATGGAGATCATATCCCCCCTTATGTATTATACATGGAGATCATATCCCCCCTTATGTATTATACATGGAGATCATACCCCCCCTTATGTATTATACATGGAGATCATATCCCGCCTTATGTATTATACATGGAGATCATATCCCCCTTATGTATTATACATGGAGATCATACCCCCCTTATGTATTATACATGGAGATCATATCCCCCCTTATGTATTATACATGGAGATCATATCCCCCTTATGTATTATACATGGAGATCATATCCCCCCTTATGTATTATACATGGAGATCCTATCCCCCCTTATGTATTATACATGGAGATCCTATCCCCCCTTATGTATTATACATGGAGATCCTATCCCCCCTTATGTATTATACATGGAGATCATATCCCCCCTTATGTATTATACATGGAGATCATATCCCCCTTATGTATTATACATGGAGATCATATCCCCCCTTATGTATTATACATGGAGATCATATCCCCCCTTATGTATTATACATGGTGATCATATCCCCCCTTATGTATTATACATGGAGATCATATCCCCCCCTTATTATACATGGAGATCATATCCCCCTTATTATACATGGAGATCATATCCCCCCTTATGTATTATACATGGAGATCATATCCCCCCCTTATGTATTATACATGGAGATCATATCCCCCCCTTATGTATTATACATGGAGATCATATCCCCCCCTTATGTATTATACATGGAGATCATATCCCCCCTTATGTATTATACATGGAGATCATATCCCCCCCTTATGTATTATACATGGAGATCATATCCCCCCTTATGTATTATACATGGTGATCATATCCCCCCTTATGTATTATACATAGAGATCATATCCCCCCTTATGTATTATACATAGAGATCATATCCCCCCTTTTTCCAGTGTGGAACGCAGGCACAGCAGCCCATTCAAATGAATAGGCTGCTGTGTCCATACAAATACAGACCACACTAATGTGAACCAGGGGTTAATTCATGCTGGCTGTCGCCGAAATTTTTTTTCCAGCAAGAACTCATCTATGTGATCTTTTATTGAACTCAGCTCCAATATCTTCCCAACTAAAGATGTTAAATTAACAGGTCTATAAGTTACATGGTAAAGACTCTGACCCCTTTAAAATATAGGCACCACACTGGCCTTATGTCAATCCAGTGGTACTATGCCAGTCATTAAAGTGTTACTAAACCCACAACAGTACCATCAGTCTGTATATGCAGTAAAGCACACTTGTTCTACTCACTGTGAAACCTAAGGGGTTAATCCTCTGCATTGTGTAAAAAGGTTGTTTGATCCTGTCTTCTCTGCTGATAGTACAGAGCTCTAGGAGTCACCCTACACATGCTCAGTTTAGTGTGTACTGATAACGTTTTTGGGTTTTTTTTTCTCTTTTGGTGCATGTGATCAGCACAGGGCCAATCAACACTGGCCAGAGGGTCAGGGGTCATGCAACCTCATAGGACAGTCAGAGCAGAATGAAAAAACTCCTCCTACAAGAGGACTTTGGACCACTGAGCAACAGACCAGGTCTTTTTCTTTAGCCCAGGTAAGACGCTTCTGACGTTGTTTGTTGTTCAGGAGCGGCTTGACAAGAGGACTACGACATTTGAAGCCCATGTCCATGATCCGTCTGTGTGTGGTGGCTCTTGATGCACTGACTCCAGCCTCAGTTCACTCCTTGTGATAGTCCCTAACAATTTTGAATGGCCTTTTCCTGACAATCCTCTCCAGGCTGCGGTCATCCCTGCTGCTTGTGCCCCTTTTTCTTCCACACTTTTCCCTTCCACATAACTTTCTATTAATGTGCTTTGATACAGCACTTTGGGAACATCCAACTTCTTTTGCAATCACCTTTTGAGGCTTTCCATCCTTATGGAGGGTGTCAATGATGGTTTTCTGCACAACTGTCAGGTCAGCAGTCTTTCCCATGATTGTGATTCCTACTGAACCAGACTGAGAGACCATTTCAAGGCTCAGGAACCCTTTGCAGGTGTTATGGCTTAATTAGCTGATTAGAGTGGGACACTTTGAGCCGAGAATATTGCACCTTTTCACAATATTCTCATTTTCTGAGATTGTGGATTTGGGGTTTTCATGAGCTGTAAGCCATAATCATCACAATTAAGACAAATCACGGCTTGAACTATCTTGCTTTGCATGTAATGAGTCTCATATATTAGTTTCACACTTTTAAGTTGCATTACTGAAATAAATGAACTTTTGCACGATATTCTAATTTTTCGAGTTTCACCTGTACATGGACTATTCTTAATCCTTATAGTTTTTTATCCATTTACTAATACTAACAACATATCATTTACATGTCTTAAACTTGTTTTTTTTTTTAAATTTCTTCAGTTCCTTCCGGTTTTCCATGCCCATGAAAATGAGGGTGTATATCTCAAGAGTCTTAAAAAGGGAAGAGAGGGTCCTCGGCTCAGCCAATGACTGAACTAGGGGCAAATGGATTCCAGCAAGTAAATGCTACAGGAATCATCTGCCCTTACTCAAGATGGCCAAGTCCAGAAATGCCAGGGTGCGTTTTTTCAAAATAACTTCTCAGCAAAATAAAGCATGGAGACATGGATACTTCAAACAATTAGAGTGCCTGTGTCTTTCCCTGACAGCAATGGGGCAAATACACTCATCTTGATGGGTTGGAGCAATTCTAATAGCTTTTGCCTGCTTTTATTTCATAGGCTGGCATACACTATGAACATTTGGTAGATCTGTACCTATGATCCGCTGTGCTGTTACCACACGAGACAGGCACTTCCTATCCTCTGCCCTGCAGCTACCATATCACACTACAGCACTGTGGAGAAAAAAAATCTGAATAGTGCAATGATAGACATTGACTACAAACCTGGTCCTAAAGGCTAAAAGGATTTTACCTTAATGCAGTCTCTGCTTTAAAGGTAAAAAAATAGCTGCATGCAGCTATTTTCCAGCTCCCCTTATATTTACCCGTGCCTGATCTTGATCTAGCGCTGTGCAGAAGAGCTGAGGCTCTCTACCTCCTCATCGGCCCAGAGACAGCAGCGTTGCACTACTGTCAGCCAGTGAGGAAAGAGTGGGGGGTGGGGCTGAGCTGCGCTCTGTGCGTCTAGGGACACAGGGTGTGGCTCAGGAACAAGCTCACACAAGCACCCCAAAAGCAGCAGGCTTGCTATGGGTGCATGAGAGCATCAGTGGGGGACCCAAGAAAAGGAGCATCAGAACTGCTCTGTGCAACACCACTGCACAGAGCAGGCAAGTAGAACATATTTGTGTTTATTTTGTTTTTTAAAATTTGGAGCCTTTGCAATCACTTTTAGGGGTAATCCAGCCTGTAACAGTCTCCCCCAAAGTCTCCCCCAAAGAAACAGTCTCCCCCAAAGAAACAGTCTCCCCCAAAGAAACAGTCTCCCCCAAAGAAACAGTCTCCCCCAAAGAAACAGTCTCCCCCAAAGAAACAGTCTCCCCCAAAGAAACAGTCTCCCCCAAAGAAACAGTCTCCCCCAAAGAAACAGTCTCCCCCAAAGAAACAGTCTCCCCCCCCAAAGAAACAGTCTCTGCTGTGCTTTTTCACACTAAAAAACAAGTGCTTTGAGACCATGACAACTCCCTCGTAATATGCACACCCCAAATTTGATGGTGTCTATCCTTTCCACCTCCTCACCTTCATGGTATTTTTTAAATTGAAAGCTGCATATTTATAAGGCTGAAATCAACTTTTGAAATGACAAGTGTGTTGAAGCTTACATGAGATTTCAGTCTACTTTAATGTGAACCTGTTTTTTTGGTGTTTTTTTTTTTTGTAAAAAAAAAAAAAAAAAAAAAAAAAAAAAAAAAAAAAAAAAAAACTTTTTAATGTTTACTGCTTCATCCAAAAAAAAAAAAAAATAGCATTGACAAGCCCAG